GTCCGGTGTGACCCTGGGAGAGCCCCACCAACGCCGGGGCCGCCTTGGCCGAGACGGCGAGGGTCAGCACCACGCCGGCGCTGGTCCCGATCCACAGCAAATCCTTGCACGCCAGGAGAGCCGTGATCCGCAGGCAGGCCGCCTTGTGCTGCCGGATGATGGCATCCGAGCCTGTCGAGCATCCCTGCCGTCAGTATCCATGCCTGGCGTGGGGCTGTGAACCCCGCTGATGCCACCGGTTCCAAGGGGTATTTGGGGGACGTGGGACGTGGGGAAGGGACCCCACCACCCGCCCTGGCTGGTATAAAGCACCCCGGGGTGCTGCCAGATCGGGCTGCCTGAATTCCGCGCGAGATTACGCAGATGCCCGGGAGCTGCCCTATTCCCACGTGGGATGATGCAGCCATCCAGGGCTGCCCTATTTCTGTTTGGGATTATGCGGCCGTCCAGGGGATGCCTTGTTACCCCGTGGGATTACGCAGTTGCGCAGGGATTCTCCTTTTTCTGCGTGGGATTACGCAGCTACCCAGGAGCTGCCCTATTACCACGGGGGATTACGCAGATATCCAGGGGTGCCCTATTCCTGCCTGGGATTATGAAGCCATCCAGGGGTGCCCTATTCCTGCCTGGGATTATGAAGCCATCCAGGGGATGCCCTATCACCCTGTGGGATTATGTACTTGCCCAGGGATTATGAAGCCATCCAGGGAATGCCCTATCGCCCTGTGGGATTATGCTGATGCTCAGGTGCTGCCCAAGCTCTGCGTGGGATTATGCAGCCACCCAGGGGATGCCCTGTTTCCGCATGGGATTATCCACCTGCCCAGGGGCTGCCCTGCTTCCCCGTGGGATTACGCAGCTGCGTAACACCGAGGACGAACCCCATGAACGTTTTGGGGTCTCCTTCCCCCAAACTGGTCGGGATGCAGGAGATACTCAATTTCCCAGCACTGGATGCTGCAGGGCATCGCATTTTGAAAGCAGATGATGGGTACGGGTACCCACCAGAGACAGCGACGGGCACCCACTGGAGACCTCCCACCGGTGGGACTTACCGGCGAGCATCTTGTGTACCGGGGGGGTGATATCCGCTTCGGCCAACTGCTCGTAGCTGGTGGCGTGGTAAAGCCGGACCTGGGCGCTGCTCTGCAGCGCGACCCACACGCCGGTCCCCGCGCTCACCATGCAGGTGACGCTGCGCCCGCCGTCCTGTCCCACCTGGAGCGTGTGCTGTGGGTGACAGAGCCACAGCGATGCCGCTGATGATGCCACCGATGCCCATCGCCGTCCTCCCGACCTCCCGCCATTGCCCGTGGTACCTCTTGCGCCAGCGTGGCGGTGTTGAGGACGATGACCCGGTTTTGGCAGCCGCACCAGAGCTTCCCTGCCACCGCCACCATCTTGGTGATGGGGCTTCCAGGCGAGCCCAGGGACAGGGACTTGGAGTTTTGGGGGTCCCAGAAGCGCCCTGTGAGGGTGGTGGGAATGGGGTGGGTAGTTAAAGCATCTCCAAACAACCCCATGTTGACCCAGCTGATGGGATGCAGTGGCTTGAGATGCCCGTCCCCAGGTCCCCCTTTAGAGCCGATGTCCCCAAGGGATGCCAGCGGTGGGCAGGGACCAGGAGGAGGAGGCACACCTCCACCTGGCTCTGATTTTGGGGTCTTCAGCATCTCTTGAGGCATGTCCCTTCCCTTCCTGCAGAGGCAGGGAAGCTGTCGACACCCCCACCATCCCTCCCTGGGGGGAGCTGCCCGAGCACCCACCCAAGAGCCACCGCTTTGGGGCTGCGTTTAACCCCCACAGCACCCTTTGATGGTCCCAATCCGGCCTCACCTGCCTCCCGCTGGTACGCAATGAGCTCCCCATTGGCCAACGACACAAAAACCTGGTTATCGAGGTACCTGCAGGGAGAAAAACCCTTGGACAACCAGTCGCAGAGCCCCACTCAGCCACCCCAAACCACCTCACTGTGGACAACCCAGAGCCGAAAATCTTCTTCCCCACTTACAAGATGCACATGACAGCTGCGGCATGTTGCATCTTCATGCTGTTCTTCCTGTTACGGATGTTGTCCGAGGACTGGTACACGTGGATGCTGCGGGAGAAGAGCAAAGCTTGAGGCTCACATGGGATTGGAGTCCACCCCACGTGTGTGTCCCCCCATGCTGGGGACGCACCAGCCATCCTCAGTGCCCAACCACATGGAGCTCTGATGGGCTTCAGGGTCAAGGCTGAGGAGGTCCTCGAGGCTGCCCCGGGTGAAGGAGCCACGGCTGGAGCGGCGCAGGGCTCGCCCGTCTGTGGGGCTTTCGCCGTGCCGGTTTTGGCTGTAGGTGCCGGTGATGGGCATGAAGCCGGGTTCTTGCTCTTCCTCCGAGCTCGTTGTCTCTGCCGTTGCCTCCTTGCAGCTCGGGATCTCTTCATCTGCAGAGGAGGAAGGAATGGGTCAGACCAGGACCACCTGACACCCACCAAAGTGACGGAGAAGAGACCATAGGTCCTCTTGTGATGTCAAGCCCAGGGGAGGATGTAGGGATGCCGAGCCCCAAACCCACCAGGTTTTACCCAAAGCCACCAACCCCATCCCAGCACCACGGGGCTGGGCTGATGTCCCACATATCTCTTTTCCTGGGATTTCCTTGCCTCAAAAGCCTCCAGCTGTGGAATTCCCTGAGGAACACAAGGATGGAGCTACCCATCATTTTAGTAGGGCCTGTAGTCATAGGCCAAGGGGTCACGGTTTTAAACTAAAAGAGGGGAGATTCAGACTAGATGCAAGGAAGAAAGTTTTTACGATGAGGATGGTGAGGCACTGGCACAGGTTGCCCAGAGAGGAGGTGGATGCTCCATCCCAGGATACATTCCAGGTCAGGTTGGTCGGGGCTCTGAGCAACCTGATTTAGTTGAAGATGTCCCTGCCCATGGCAGGGGGGG